GCGGGGGGGGGGGGGTGTTGGCCAGGTACCAGAGGGAGGGCCTGCCCGGGAGCACAGGAGGCTGTTGTGCTGGAGCACTCTGCATGCACACACACACCCCAAGAGGCTGCCACGAGGACTCCATCTAGTTTGGTGTCGTTGCTGGCCCAACCCCCTCTAATCTGGGAGAACCGGGTTTGATTCCCCACTCTTCCTCCACATGCAGCTGCTGGTGTGACCTTGGGTCTGTCACAAGTTCTCTCTCAGAGCTGTTCTCTCAAGGACAGCTCTCTCAGAGCTCTCTCAGCCCTGCCTACCTCACAGGATGTCTGTTGTGGGGAGGGGGAGGGGAAGGGAAAGGAGTTTGTGAGCCGCTCTGAGACACCTTCGGGTAGTGAAGGGCCCATGGGGTATGAATCCAACTTCCTCCTCCTCCTCCTCCTCCTCCAGCACTCAAGAAGAGCTGCGCCCCAGAGGGCACACCCCCCTCAGGAAGGCCTCTCCCCCCAGCACCGCCCCCCATCACGGCCTGGGTCCCGTCAGCTGACCTGAAGTGGGGCAAGCCAGGCCACAGAGCCCCACCACCACCACCACCACCGACCCACCATTGCGGGAGATGTCCAGCTCCACCAGCTGCATGAAGTTGGCCACCTCAGGAGGGAGGCGCTGGATCTCATTGTCACTCAGGCCCAACTTGCGCAGGTTGAGGAGTCGGAAGAAAGGCTGCCGGAGGAGGGGAGAGACGGAGAGACGTTAGAGGCAGCAGGAAGCAGAGGCGACCCAGGCCCAGCCGCCCACCACCACCACCGCCCCGCCTGTGGGTGTTCAGATCAGACCCTGAACCCATCTGGCCCTGCGAGCAGCTAGTGAAGGGAACACACTCTTGGGGCCTGCTGAGCTAGGCAGAACCCCCCCCATGGGAAAAGAGCGGGGGAGCCACAGAGGCAAAGAGCCACCAGAGAGAGCTCTGACTCCACTCCTCGCCTCTCCCACGAAGCCCACCCTCGGCGCGCACCTGGGCCCTGGCCAAGCCAGTCCCTCGCTGCCTCCCATCCGCAGCACGGGGGTGAGAGTGAGGGCCCCCCTTGCGGGGCTGTTGCCGCTGTCATCGGACAGTCCCCCCCCCCCAAAAGTGCTGCAGGCTGTGGAGGACACCCGGCAAAGGCTCCCACCGCCTGCCCCTCCCTCCCTCCCAACCGCACGTGGGCAGAGACAGGCTCTGTGCAGCCTTTGCCTTTGGGGAGCCCCCAGTCCTCCAAGCCCGAACCGGACCTCCTCAACCCCCTCTGGGGGTATCCCGCTCTCAGAAGAGCCACTCCCAAGGGAGGGAAGCTGCACACCAAGCCGGGAGACGGCCGAGGGGCCGTACAGGGAACGAACGTGCCCCCCCCCCCTTGCCCATCTGCAGGCGTCTTTGAGTGGGAGCAGACTGGCAAACCGCATGGACTGAGGGAGGCGGCTCCCCCGCAGGACTGCCTCCCAGGTCAGCGCCCACCTGGCCATGGCCAGGCCCCGGGTTTTCTCGGAGGAGCCCCCTCCCGGAAGAGGCCAGGGAAGCACCGACCCTTTCCGGTCAGGCGGCAAAACAGAACTCCTCCGGGCAAAGGGGGAACCACTCGCCAGCAAGTGTGCCAACGCACCTGTAATGCATTTATACGTGGATGCGCATGCATGACTGTGTCTTTTCCCTCTGCGACTACACATGAATGAATGACTCCTGCCACCCATTTTAAAGGTTCCCTGCTTCGTGTCCTCCTCAGTCACGTGGGGAGAGGCAGACACGCAAGCCTCTGAAGCAGACAAACGCCACGCAGAGTCCACACGGGAAACGGAGGCGCCTCATTCTGGAGCACAAAAGGCCTGCTGGGACCCAACGGCCTGGGCCCCTGAGCCAAACCCCGGCCCCCCTCCTCACGTTCAGCGAGGGAGGGAGGGCGGCTCCTGCTGCAAACAAGGCCACCGGGGGGGGGCGCTTGCCCACCACAGCCAGGCCAGGCCACCGGCACAGCCTCCTGCAGCACCCCACCCCACCCCCGCAGCCACAAGCAGATCTCCCAGCATTTCTCCTGGAACGGGGGGGCAGGTAGGGTGAAGCTCCCCCCCCCCAAGCACTGCACTGCTCTTCCCACTAGGAACAGCCCCGGGGAGTCCCTATTTGTCCGGTTAGAATAAACACGCAGGTGCCCCCGTCCGTGCCCACATCAGGGCTGTTTCAGACCAAGAAAGGGGAGGACGGGTCATGGCCCCCACCCCCAGCCTTTCCAGAGGCAAACTCCCAGACAGCAGCTGGCTGAGAAAGGAATCCCAGGAGTGCACCAGCCGTTCCCAAGCGGGCCTCCCAGAGCAGCCGGAGGCAGGAGGCCTCGAACCAAGCAGGGCCAATCCACCCTGGGACCATAAGAAACGTGTTCCCTGAGAGGGGGTCGGGGCAGGACCGAGGGGCACCAGCCTTGACGGGTGACCTCTACGGAAGGGGGGGGGGTTCAGGCTCGCAGGAGCCGACCCCCCACCTCGCCTTAAGCACACAGTGTGCCCACGCCCACGCAGAAGAGCAGGCGAGCGCTCACCTGGACATCCAGATGTTCTTCACGTGGGCACCCCTGCAATCACACCCATCATGGGAACTCAGACCTGCCAAGCGTGCCGGCAGGGGACTTCGGCTTTCTGGCACCAACTCCCCTCGCCCCCAGACCCAGAGTGTCACGGGCTGGCCCCAAGGGGGGCTCCTGCCCACTCAGCAGGAGAACAAGAGGCACCCGCCCCTTTTTTTGGCGGGGGGGGGGGGTGACTGTACAGGTCACCACACAGAAAGAGCAGCAGGCCCAGGGAAGCAGCCTGGACTGCAAGAGGTCCCCAGTTCAATCCTCCTCGGCAGCATCTCCAGCTACGAGGGGAGGGGAGGGGAGGGGAGAGACGGCTTGGCCTGAGACCCTGGAGAGCCACTGCCAGCCTGAGCAGACCGTGCTGGCGCTGACAGACCAAAGGTCCGATTCAGTCCAAGGCAGCTGCCAGTGTCTCCGTGCATAAAACGGCCAGGCTGGCCCACCTGGAAGCTGGGAGAGGAGCTGTTCGTGCAGGCCAGGCAGGCAGGGAGGGCCTCTCTCTCTCTCTCTCTCTCTCTCTCTCTCCCTCCCCGCCAGCAGCCGCTCTGCAGGAGCCGGCAACCCCTCCAGCCCACACCATCGGAGTCCCAGGGGGTCCAGGAGGGCCCCCCCTCCCCCAGGATGCCCCGGCAAGGCGGTCTGCCTCGGCTGGGAGCACAGGGGGATGGGGGGATGAAGCCCTGGCTTTCACTGGGGGGGGCAGGCAGACCCCAGACCCCCCCCCCGGAAGGGAGCGCCTCTGTTTGGACAGAAAGCACGTCTGGACCCTGCCAGGCCGGCCCGGCCTCTGAAAAGGGACTTTCAAGAAACAGGAAGGACTAAATCCTGATGCGGGTGAAACAGAAGCACTGCCTTGGGGAGGAAAGGTCGGGTCGGGGGTCACAACGCAAGGGTTTCTTTCACTGAGTTGGGGACACACACACACACACACACGCACACACACACACACATACGGAGCACACTTGTTCTTCTGCCCGGAAAGGCCGTTTTCCACACTCCACAGCCACAAGGCAAAACCAGCTGCAGACTTCACGGGAGGAGAGAGGGTCAGGCGCAGGTGGATGAGGACGCACCACTCCTCTGAAGAACTGCTGCATTATAGGAGTATTCGTGACCCACCCAGCACGAGTGGGCAGTGAGCTCAGAAAAGAGTACAGGGAAAGGCTCCAAAACAGCAGCAACAGAATGGCTGGGTGTACTTCGACAGAAGAAGCACAAGGGGGCGCTGAAGGACCACCTTCGGGAGGGCTTTCTAAAACCCAACGGGACACTGGGGAGGTTCTCCAAATATAAAGGTTTGCCTTGCTCGAAAGCCAGTCGAATCCGACTCTAGGGGGCGGTGCTCATCTCCCGTTTCCAAGCCAAAGAGCCAGCGCTGTCCAAAGACGTTTCCGTGGTCATGTGGTCGGCATGACTGGACGCCAAGGCGCACGGAAGCAGTACCTATTGATCTGCTTTCAATTTCTTGCTTCCGAACTGCTAGGCTGGGCAGGAGTTTCCAAATATACCTGGGTCTAAAACGCAAGGAGACACTGGAGAGGTTTCCCAAATACACCTGGGCAGAACGTGGCCCCAGGCCTGAGAGAGCAGATGCTGCCCTGAGGGAAGGTGAATATACCCCCCCACCAGTGTTCCCTCTAAGCTGAGCTAGTGTGAGCTAGCTCACAGTTATGTAGCCTCCGGCTCACACATTTTTGTCTTAGCTCAGGAAGGAGGGCTCCAGAGCAAACTGATTTATTGCTTGCTCACAACTTTAATGCCAGAAGCTCACAGAGTAGAATTTTTGCTCACAAAACTCCACAACTTAGAGGGAACATTGCACCCCACCCCCCCGGCCACAGCCAGATGGGGAAAGGCAGAAACCCAGCCTGGTGTTGCATGAAAGGGGGTGGCGAGGATGGCCTTGCAGGCCACCCTAGGGGTGAGTGGCGACCAGGTAAAGGGAAGGTCTGCTCCCTGGCATCAGAAATGCATCTCCTAGAGAGCAAGCCGCAGCCTCCTCCCCCCCCCCACCTGCAGCAGTATGCCGAACCCTTGTGCCTGATCACTGATGCGAAGGCGCCTCAGAGGGAGGGCCCCGCTGCCTGAACAGGAAGCGTCATGACACAGGGGGGCCGGGAGACAGGGAGAGCGGAGGGGCCTTGCTCAGGGATCCCCCGCTGGGGTGCTCAGAGTTCTTGGGGGGCCTGGACAGCAAGGCTGGATTACAGGCATCAGTCCCGAAGTTTGCAAGCAAGTCAGCGGAGGGAGGCCGGCTGACCCAGGTCCCCTCTGCGTATTCGTGCAGGACACACTGATGCAACGCCGCCTGTGGAGACCTGCACGGTCTTGTTGCGCAAGAGAGGGCCGCAGACTGCTAAGAGCTTCCCGGGTCTGATAAGAATCTTAGACACGCAGGGTGCTGGTGGTGGCCGAGGTGTGCCGGAAATCCCCGATGCCTGGGCAGAGGATCGTAGTTTTCCTACACACGCCGGCATGCCCTCGCCAGTCCTGGTGCTGAAAAGACCACTGCCCACAAAGGGAGACCCTGACTACACAACCCAGCCTTGGGTGAAGAAAGGGCTGCGGAAGGCAGGCAGGCAGGCAGGCCGGTCTGAGAAAGGCCACCCACCCCCTTTGCCCAAGGCTTGGCTCTGCAGTGCCCATCCGCTGCTGGGTTAGCCGAACAGCATCCGCTTTCAGGGCATTAACCGGTGCCGTCTCTGGCCCCAGCTCCTGCCAACCTAGCAGTTCGAAAGCAAGAAATTGCAAGTAGATAAATAGGTATGGCTTCGGTGGGAAGGTAACAGTGTTCCATGCGCCTCGGTGTTTAGTCACGCCAGCCACATGACCACGGAAACGTCTTCGGACAGCGCTGGCTCTTCGGCTTGGAAATGGAGACGAGCATCCCTAGTCGGATTCGACTGACTTTCAAGCAAGGGAAACCTTTACCTTTACATTCTTCACAGACACATCACTCCAGCTATTCATGTTCCATTTATGACAGTCACTAACAGTACGCAGTCCTGAGATGCTTTTGACACACAGCACCATCAGTCCAGGTGCTCCCCGTTCTATGCCCGTGCACTGAATTCTTTTGTCTAAATGCACAATTTGGTGTTTTGTCTCGGCTGAACTTCA